TTGCGTAAAACAAAACGTGTCTATTTTCAAATGTAACTTACGATTTATAAAATTATATTACTTTTTATGATTTCAATTAATTTATATTATTCTGTGCATTTTTTAAAACTGTAAATAAAAATATTATATTAAACATAAAATTATTAAAAATTTTTTGAATTGTTGAAATAATATAATATATATTTAATACAATAAATTTAATTATAATAAAATGCTTTGATATAATAAATATTATTTACATATCTTTGATACTTATTATTTATTATTTCTAACTTCTATAATTATTTATCTGTTCAGAGCTTGCAATTGTAACATACATTTATTTAGACTTATATACGGATTTTGATCGACGGTTATTAAAGGCAAAGCAATATTGTTTATATAGCATTGAAATTTTCGGTTACCCAAGTAGTGAGTAAAATTTAATTTAATTTTCATTAAAGTAAGAATATCTTATTATTAACTTATAATATTAATAAAATAGATTTTAGACAGCAATAGGCTTGTTACATCCAGTGTAACAAAAATTTTCCTAATGAATCTACTTTACAATATAATATTGGAAATAATAGTCATTTGGCAATAAAATTATCATTCAGATAAATTTATATTTTATTCTAGATATCAGACAAGACAAAGTTACTAGGAAATTATAAGAAAAAATACGCAAATTTTAAATCCATTATCATGGATATACATAAACATATATATGTAATGATATATTTTTAGATATACGAAATAAATTGAATATGAAACAAATCCAAATTCACATTATAGTTAACCACCAGAACAAACCTCCAATGCTTACATTCTTTCCTGTTACCTAACAGTAAGGTAAATTCAATAAACAATGTCAACAATTTTTTTTATATTAATGTGTATTGTATAAATATTTAAATGTGTATAAATATTTCTATATTTTTAGAATATATATGCTAAAGCTACGTTCCCTGTCAAGATACATCAGTTGTCAAATTTATATTTTCTGCAAAGGTAAAACCTCATTTCGTTAATATTTATATATGAAATATTCATCTACTTATTTATTTATATAAATGTACAGACAATCTGATTGATTATAAGTAATATTATTTAAAAAAATAGAAAATAAATAAAAAATACTTTGATATTTATTAAAAAAAGTAAATGAGTGTTTTTATAATCAGATAGTGGATAGTCTAATCTGTTTTTGCATGTTAGCTTATTTAAATTGAAGAAATACACTTTTACATCAATTTTGTTAACATGTTAATTTATATTTTTTCTGTGCCATAGGTTTTAAAACTATAACATCTGCGAATTTTCGAGAAACATCGGATCGGAAACATTGAATCAACATGTACATGAATTTAATGAGATGGCATCGATTCCATCTTATTCAATAATTATTGTTGTTGGTTACCTACCAAAATAGAATACACTGAGACATTACACAAAATCCAATATATCCAAATTCACATTATAGTTAACACCAGAATCCATATATGGACGGAACAAAATATATTAGCTTTATTAATTAATTATTATTAATTATTATTAATTAATTAGCTTTATTAATTAATTATTATTAATTATTATTAATTAATATATTAATTAAAACTATATTAAAATATATAAAGTATGAAGATTTTATCAATGTTTCAAAGTATTCTCCGAGATGCCTATGATTTATGTGGTCATAATCTCTCTGTAACATATTAATTAGATTGTCTATATAAAACAGAATTTTTTTTGTAGATTATTAATATTATTTCTTTTAATATTATTACATTTTTATTATAATCAAAATAATACATGTACTTGTAATGTATGTGTACCACCAAGTATATCCAAATTCGATAAAGATCTTTTTCATATTCATATCACCAAATACTAAGCGGAGATTATTTTTTACTCATCACAATTGCGCAGAACATTCCTTATAAACAAATAAGTAATATAATTACGTGCACAAATTATAAATATTTGTGATTAAATAAAATTTTAATCTATTCATTTGGAGGAACATTGTAGGTCTTATACTTGATGAAAAAACGAAAAAATTTCTAGAAATAAAATGCTATAACGAATAAAAATTGTAAATTATTAATTTTTACTACATAATATTAATAGAAAATTAAATTATTAAACAATTTTTTTTACATAACATAAGTACAAGCAAGTGCACTCATTTGCACTCATTGTAGATGAAACATCAAAGATCTATTAATTAGAATATTACTAAATAGAACAGGTATAACAAAAATAAAAGGAAAATTATTAAGGGAAGAAAAATTATGTGGCAAAGTGAATGGATCTACATTTTACGATGTAGATATCTTTTAACTTGAACATTAAAATTTGTTTCAATCTCCATCGATAATTTTATTTAAGTCTTCCTTGATATATAGTATTTATCATTCGATTATGAAACTTGATTATTCGTTTATCCAACTAAATAGTATGACTCTAATACTTTATGTCAACTGGCAGCCAAAGTCCAGTTAGTCCAGTTCTGCAGCAATTAGATATTAATTAAATTTTATATATAGTATATTTAATATGTCTTTTTTTAAAACAGATATATTATTAAGATATCAAATGGTATCGAAATGATAAAATCTCTTTTTCGCTAATTAGTTCTCTCGCTGCGCTTGCTTCAGCTGTCATCATAGAAATCACATATTATGATAATTGTGTGTATCATGAAAATTATCATAATAATAATGTAATAATATTAATTACATTTTATTTGATTATTATAGTCTTCGTTTTTATATTACAATAAAAATCTTTCCTTCTCTTTTTTGATTCAAAATTGTTTTAAATAAGTTTTACAAAATGCAATTTTTATTGATAAAACTATATGAATACTTTTATAAATGTACAAATCAAATCAAGACTTATAAAATTTTAAAAAACAGATGGCGCGATATAGCATGCGCGAAGCGAGCGCTCAACAAGGTTTTACTTAAACAAAAAGTATAACAGAAGTAAATAAATATAACAGAAGTAAATAAAAGACGAGATGGTAAGAGAAAACATATAATATTGCGGCAAAATGGACCATGATATATTTAACTTAGATCTCTATAAATACCAAATGTCGAAAATTTTTGAAAAAAATATTTTTGAAGAAGAAATCCAAATCTCTCCACTAAAATCTGGTCATGTGGATCCGTATTCTTATGCAAAACCAGGTATTTAATCGTCCAATAAATTAAACATGTGAACGTTATTGTCTTATTTTTTGAAGGAAATAGAAAATAAAGAAAAGACCATACAAAAAGTAAATCTAATAAATTTGCAAAACAAAATAGTCGCGAATAACATCATATTTTGCACAATTTATGATATTTAAACTTAAATTATTTGTTACAAGTTTAATTTATTTGTATTATTTTTTGTCTCATCTTAAATGATATATGAAAGCATTATCATATATCTAATCAAGCGTAATGCATAAAAATTATTAAAGTTTATTTTAAATTAGTAAACAATATAGCACGTAATTAACATAACATTAACTTAAGATTAAACATTTTGAGATACTTGTGCACTTATATACGTCACTTATATATTTTTGTACTTATTATCTGTATATTTTAACCCTTACAATTTATATATTAGATCATGCAGCTGTAACTTCCATTTATTTAGACATAAATGTGGATTTTGATCAGATGATTATTAGAGGCACAGCAATATTGACTATAAGACTGGAAACTTGGGCTACTGAAGTAGTGAGTTAATTATTAATTATTTTTATTATAAGTAAGAATCTTTCATTTATTATTAACACATAATATAAATCAAAGATTTTAGATAACAATGGACTCATTATATTAAGCGTTAAAGATTTTGATAGTGGAATTGGTTTAACATATTATATTGATAATTATGATTGTCTTGGAAGTAAATTTACTATTCTGTTACCAAAATTTATTATTGCAAAAACTGAGTAAGTAATAATATTGTTAGAAAAGTACAGACTTTAAGATTTCTATTTGCACAAATATTTATATAAACATATAATAACATATATACTGCAGATTTAAAATTCAGATTGAATACAAAACAAAACCGAATTCTCCTGTATTTTATTGGCTAATGCCAGAACAAACCTCCGCTGCCACACATCCTTTTCTATTGTTTGACAATCAGGTAAATTAAAATGAATGATATCAACAATTTTTCTATGTTAACGTGCATTATAAAAAAGTTTCTAATTTTTAGTATACACATGCTAGAGCTATGTTTCCCTGTCAAGATACACCATCTGTCAAATTTAACTTCTCTGCAAAGGTAAAAACGCGTCTTAGGTAACATTTATATAACCAATATTTATTTATTTATTTAAACATACAGACATCTATTTGATTATAAAAGTAAGTTGTTTTAGAAAAGGATAAATTAAAAAGTATCTTGTGTTTAACAAAAAAAATGTATACTAATTAGATGGTAATCTTTTCTTGCAGCTTCTTGTTAGCTTATTTAAACTAAAGAAATATGCCATTATGCATATTACATACCATGTGCATATTACATTAGTTTTGTTGCCATATATTTTATATTCTTTAGATTTCAGTACCACCAGGTCTTAAAGTTATAACGTCTGGGAAACGTAAAAAGATTTCAATGACTTTATTTCAATATATATACGAATTTTACGAAACAGCACCAATTCCATCTTATGCGGTGGTCTTGGTTGTGGGTCGACTGAGAAATATTATGACATCAGCACATCGCATCAACATACTTGCTGAACCAGAGTATTATAAGCAGAGTAAAAAAATGTTATCGTTGATACATATTACACTAAACAATATCAATGATCTTTGTGGTTCTTATCTTTGGGGTAATATATTAACCAAATTATTTGTTTATATTTATATATACAATAAAATTATTTTTGTAAATTAACAATACCATTCCTTTTATTAGTATTGCATTTTTATTATTAAATTAAAATAATATATATAGGTACATGTAACATATGCGTGTTACCATCAAGTATTTCACTATTTGAGGTAGAAAGTCCTTTTTTGATACTCGTGCCACCGACTATACTAGACGGAGATAATTCTTTATTCGCCATAGTTATGAAGAGCATTCCTTATAAATGGACAGGAAGTATAGTTACGTGTACAAATTATGAAGATTTGTGGTTGAATAAAAGTTTTAGTCTGTTCATTTGGAGAAAGATTGTAAATATTATGTTTGGCAATGAAGTAAAGGAATTTCTGGAAATGAAAGGCATTTCTGACTTAATAAACACGGTAAATTAATTCTGATTACACAATGATAAATACTAAAGTAAACAATATTATACTTGTTGAATAATATTATTTTATATTATGTATGTATGAATTGGTTTATTCATTTCCAAATGTTATACTTTACTATTATTATAGATGACGAATCCTTGGATTCACTCTGAGTTAAAAAGTTTAATACCAAATTTAATTGGATTCTTGCCGAAATATGCTGTTAATTATGTACCTTATGAAAAAGGATATCTCCTTTTACAAGAAATAGAATCTAAAATAGGTGGTCCAACAGTGTTCGAGCCATTTCTTAAATCTTATATAAATAAATTTAAATACCAAAATATAACAACTAAAGCATGGAAGGATTACTTATACGAATATTTTTCTGAAAGAAACAAGGTAATAATTTTTCAATTAAATGTAAGCATATATGTTTTCCAATCGTTTTAATTTTTTTAACTATTATATTATGTATATTATTTCATATTATATTATATATGACGATAATTAATCTTTATTACTTAATTATTTTAATGTTACTAGGTATATATTTTAAAAAACATAAATCTTGATAAGTTGCTTTATGATCGAAGTGATATAACTTTTTTATTTTCATCAGAAATTAAAAAAAAATAGAAAATATATATAATAAGATACATTTTCCAGTAAGAATATTGATTGAAGAGGATGGAATAACATCTTTTGTTTATAATTTTCCAAAATATAATGATATTCAAAAAATAGAATTTTTAACTTATCTATATGAATCGCATGAAATTCTTCCTCTCTCGAAAATAAAGCAGATGTCACTTATATATCCCTTTAGTCAGAGCAATGGTGAAATAAGGTAACTATGTTTATCTATTCTTGAATTTATTCAGATTTGCATGGCTTAACGCATATACATTTGATAGATTTCTTTGGCTTTGTTTGTGCATCAAGAGTCGATGGATAGAGAAGATTATATCTGCTTTGGAGTTTGTTAGAGAATATTGTTCGTCGATGTATGCTTGCTCTATATTTCAAAATCTTTACAAATTGCAAGAATATCGTGCCGAAATTATTCAGGCATATAAGATTTGTAAACCAAGAATGCTACTCGAAACTCGAAACAAATTGGAATCAATTCTTTATCTAAAATGATACAAGCTGCATCAAGAATATTTGTAAATTAAACAATTTTGGTATTATTTGACATTTGTATGTTAAATACAATGTTTATAAAAGTAAATAGTTTAAAAAGTAGATATAAGACAAATATTTTTACAGAATTTTTCCATAAGTGTTATTATAGATACAACAATATTTAATAAAATAGTTGTCATCAACAAATTTATAAATAAAGATATATTTTTAAATAAAGAAAAAATTTCTAATAAGAGTAAACGCTTTCAGCTATTTTATATAAAAAAGATTTGATATAAAAAAATCAGTTTACGTAATACTTTATACTTTAATATTATTATTTGTGATGTCTAACAAATATCTTATAAAATATTTATATAACGTATATGATTGTAATTTTAATCTAGTTAAGTATCTCCTTTAATTATTATTGATATTCAAATTATATTAAATTATATTAAAACCTCAAATTATATTAAAACATATCTCATTAAAATACATTCCTAATTAATAAAAAAATATATGAATTGCTTTTAAATTTGTATTTATTATAATAGTTGTTTTTTTAAACTGAATAATTTTTTGTATAATTTTGTTTAATAGAAGAAATATTTTATACAGAAATATTTTAAATAATATTCTTCAGTGACATAACACTTTATACAAGCTTGATACAGCCAGGAAAAAAATATATAATGTGCAACAATGAGTTGGACATGTAAAATAAAAATGTAAATAAAATATTTTTATATGATGCGCTTCCTGAGATAACAACAATTTTAACAATTTATCAATTGATAAATATAATATATGTAATTATAAAAATTACTATGTTATAAATATGTTACAAATTAGTATTATTCATAATTATTAACATAATTGTGCGTAATGAAATCCGTTAAGTCGGAAGTATACGCATATCCGACAATGTTTTATATTCGATTATCTCAGAAATGGAATATTGTGTGCAAAAATTTTATTCTATATTTCCGATTTACTTTTACATGTTGAATCTGAACATATCTCAGCTTATATATTTATTAATAAGTTAATCATACATTATACAAAGATACATATGCAAATTGCCAATATTTATGATTGAACAAAAGCTTCACTACATTTATTTAAAAAAAGATTGTCGGCATTGTACTTGGAAGAAAGAAGTAAAGCAACTTTTAAAAATAATAGGCTCGGACGACCTGGATGGATATCGCAAATTATTAATTATCTCTAATTATAAAACAACAAAAGTAGAGCTAATAATATTTAACATATTACTAAATAATAATTTTATGTTTTATATGTGATCACGTACACACACTTTTACGCATTCTTATCTTCTGGTTGCATTAATATTATAGTCGGAAAGTTTTGGCGACAACATGAAATGTTTGATACCTAACTCAACGGATTTGTTGCCCTATGATGCAGTCAAATATGTGCCTTACGAAAAAGAATATCGATTCTTAAAATTCATAGAATCTGCTGTTGAGTCTTCAGCTTTGTTACCTGCCAATGAACTGTTCAGGAATTTATACTCTAATAATCTAAAACCTTCTTTTCCTTTCTTTTTTCTTCTGTTCTCTTCAAATCCCTTAGCAAATTATATCCCAAAGAAATATCCTGACAAACATCAACATCATAATCGATAAAATTTATCGCTAATCCTATCCGATGATGATTACATCACGTTCTGATATATTCTTCGTTCATGAAATATATTTCCTTTTAAGGAACTGCACCAATCCTCGTATATGATATTAGAACACGTCGCGTTATTGGTTATTATTTTGCTAAAATTCCGCCTACATTTTACCAAAATTCCGCCTACATTCAACAAAAAGGAAAATCCGTCTTACTTTAGCAATGCAATACTTGTCCGAAACTTGAAGAGAATTCATAATCTCAATACACGTCAAATGAATCATCGTCTTCAATAAAATTCAATCGCAAGACAGTTCTTTTTTTATTTGAATCTTCAACATCGCGTATTACACGTAACAACTAGTGGCACTGGTACTGAACTGTCCAGAAGATTGAAAGCCTCTGCCAACTTCGCTCTGTTCTACTAAGCAAAGAAAAAAATAGAATCGTCGAAATAAGATACGAAGAAAGAACATACGGACAACTAGAAGCCTCTATTCGAGAAAATCTCAAAATTCAGAAAAGTAAAAGATTACAGTCTAAGTTTATGAGGCTCATTTCACAGGCCGTTTGACGAGAGTAAATTGACGACAATAAATAATCTATCATAATCATACATCATAATTCGGCCTACCTATTGACGATAAAACCCTGGTGGACTGCGGTCTGACGACGAAAAGCACGTAAAAGGCGTAAAGGAACTGAGACATCACAAGCGAAAGCACAGCCAGCAATTGATTGAGGAAAAGAATTACAAGGCATCTCAAAAGCCGGTTCCTTTCGAGACAACACCAACGACGACGACAAGATTCCGTGGACAATTGATAAAAGGGCAACTTCATCAAATCTTGGACAATAACATCTTGGAGCAGCGTTAAAGCAGCGTTAAGCAGCATTACTTCGTGGACAACTATGTTTTACTTCATATTGTTATTGTAAATACTATGAAATGTAGAAGTTCTAAAGCATATTATGATATAAATAGCTCTAAAAATAATTCGATACGCGATAGTTTTGAATTTGATTATATATTTATAAATTATTAAAACAAAAATCGATGATCATAAATATCCAAGCCTTTCCAAGCCGATAAATTTTTTGGATAAACAAAGTCGTCTTGGAAACCAACAAAGTCGGAGATCTTCTATTTCGACAAGCAATGATTATTTTTCTGTTCATCATAGTTTAACATTTTTGTCGATTTTTAATAACAGAAATATTCCGGCACATAAATTTACATCAAGTTGTAAAAGTGTCCTTAATTACAGATAGATTTAATCAGAGATAGATTATTTTTTTAGAGTCATTTTACAAATAAATTTGATAGAAGATGTTGCATTAATTAGATAAAAATATACAATAACTCGAATCTCGATGAATTATGTACTTAGAAGAAGAATTCGGCAATTTTAAATTTTTCGGTAATTGGGAAGTCGAGATAAGTAATCTCAGGCAACATAACAACGAATCCATGGAAAATTATATTAACAAAATAAAAAGAAAATTATGCTCTTTTCAATTTGAGGGAGAAGGTGTTATGTCGCAATAAACTTAAAAATTTATATTGTAACAATCTGTAAACCTTTTTCCCTTACTCTTTTTTTCTTTTCTCTTCCAATTCTTTAACAAATAATATCCCAAACGAATATCCTGACAAATATTCACTTCATAACATTTATTATAAAATTTATTTCTAATCCTATCGAAATGATTACATCACGTTCTGATATATTGTTTCATGAAGTTCCATATTTCCTCTTAAAAAGCCTTAAAAATCAATCCTCCCATATGATATTAAAACGCGTCGGGTTATGGTTTATTATCGTATCACAATTCCGCCTACTTCAACCTGAAGGAAGATCTGTCTTACTTTAGCAAAGCAGGTCTGGTCAGAAACTCAAAGAGAATACACCATCTCAATATTCGTCAATTTTATCGTCGTCTTTAATAAAATTCAATCGCAAGACAATGATTTTTCTTTAACTTGAATCCTTAACATTGTGTCGCGTAACAGCGTTTGAATAATTTCTTGAATTTTATACAAAGATATAAAAGTATAACAATTGATGTATTTAAGGAAGACTTGTGTCACTATCTTTCGGAACAAATCGAAATAATGTATTTCTTACACAAAATAGCCATCTTCTAGCAATAGCCAATAATCAACAATTTTATATTGTTACTACTAATCTCTTAATTTTCTTAAATGGAATCTATACTTATATGATTCACGTTTCAGCTTTTCATTGAAAAAGATTAGACAATAAATACTATCAATTCGCGAAAGCGTTAGTTGCATTAGAAACTGCATCTGCTTCTTTAATCTAAGTCAATGTCTAAATACCGTATAAATAATCATAACTATATCAATATATAAAAATCATCTTAAAACTTTAAATGTGTTTTTCTAAAAACTTGATTTTTCAACTTTTTGCAATGATATTTCAAAAACCAAGCTTTCTATCGACTTGAAATTTTAAAGCAATATTATTTACACATCTAATTATTCCGCATGAACTATAGGCAAACCTATAGCATTCTATTCTGAAATATTAATTTTTTTATACCAAAAAACATGAAAAAAATTGATTTTTGATCAACAATAAGTGCTATTTTATTAATTGAATCTTTTTTATTCTAATTCATGCAATAACTGCAAGTATTCTGCATAATTTGCGATTGGTCGGACGAAAGGAAGTCTAATCATTGCAAAACAACGAATATATTTAAGAAACGGATTATTTTTCGCTATATTTATATACTTGCTTTATATACTTGTATCAATAATTTTATAGTACAAAAAATATTTCTCTTCTCTTCATATTATATATAAATATTGTTCAAAATTTTGTTTTAGTATATTCATTTGGTTAAAAAAAAAAAAATTAGCAAAAATACGTATTAAATTCTTGACCATTTCTTTAACCTACCTATATTCGTTCCATATTCGTTCGTTCCACTTCTTTCGAGATTCACGCTAGAAGCGATATCATATTTTGACGAAATATGATATTTATTATTATCAAATTTAAATTTGCATAACATAATGCGTACATGTCGTACAGACATTTTATTTGGATACGTTTGAATATTAAGTGTTGACAGAAAGATAATTATACTTGCTTTGGAGTTTGTTAGCGAATATTGTGCGTCCATATTATATTATTATATATCTTTGTCCTATATTTCAAGATCTTTATCGAATGGACAGATATTCATCCGATAATCATTCAAACCTATCAACTTTACGACAAACGAAAGATGCTAGCCAAAATCCTAATTGAAATTGAAATTGATTCTTCATATCAATTGATAGAAGATAATTATACAATAATATTTTGTAAAATAATAATATCTTGTAATAAATTTGATTTGTTAAATATCAAATTGCTTGTACAATATCTAAAAGTTATAATTACTTTGATATTTAATATCCTAATAAGCAAATTCAGATGTATGTTATTAAACAAAGAAAAATAAAATGGTAGAAGATAAGCTACTAAACAAGGAGACAAAACCGTACTAAGTGTTACAATTCAGAAATCAGTTTAGAAGTATAAGTACATAAGCAAACATATACTGTCGAAATTTATTCGGAGACCGACGAAATATTATCGACATGTCTTCATTTCTTAAAGATTCACATTCGCATGCGAGACCAGGTATTCAATTAATAATCTAGTTACATAAAAATGTTATACATTTATAATTTATTTGTTTTTCTAGAAGAAAAACGGAGATTTTTCTTTTAATCTTATCAGTATCTGATTGAAAGGTGAAACCGTATGCTTCTAAATACTCAATAATTATTCATAAATTGTAAAATATAATAACTATTTTAGAATTATAAATATACATATGATTTTATACATAAGAATTTTGAAAATTTTTCGTATCAATTGTAGCATAAAAATATCAAAAATACTGTACAAAAGAGACGGTTTTCTTAAAGTATTTAAAATTTCTGACAAGATACAAATCTAAAATAAATTCTAATGAATAGAAAATAATTACTGAGTATTAATGAGTAGAAAAGTCATATTGCATGTAATATTGTAAAGACAAGATGCTATAAATAACTAACATAATAAGTTAAATTACATATTATTCCTTGTTACATTACTGATTTATAATTTCTTAATAACTTTTATAAAAACTTTTAGAATAATATCAATATTATTTCAATTACTAGACCTCGCAGTTGTAACAGATATTCATTTGGATTTATTTGTGGATTTTAATCGTCACGTCCTCAAAGGACAGTGCGTACTGACTATAATTGCACAACCTGGAATTAACGAAGTAGTAAGTGCTTTTCATTAAAAACAAAAACTATTTAATTGTCCATAATATGTAATATTGTTTAGTTAGATTTTAGATATTCACAGACTTACTATATTCAGCGTCACAGACTTTTTTGATTATTTTTATTTGAAATACAATATTGAAAAATTTGATTATTTTGGAAATAAACTTACCATTCAATTACCGCAATTGCTGCAATCTAATGAAAATACTAATGCCGACCATTCACATAAAGCAACTACGTAAATATATGACAATATTAAAAAAAAAGATACAAGCTACAAGATACAAGCTACAAGATACAAAAAGTATAAGAATCATTTTTGTAAATATTCAGTAAATATATACGATCATTTTCAGACATAAAATTCAGATTGAGTATGAAACAAGTCCATATTCTCCTGCATTGTATTGGCTAACACGAGAACAAACCTCTGATGGAATATGTTCTTTTCTATTATCTTACAGCAAGGTAAAATTTAAAATAGAGAAAGTTTAAAATAGAGAAAAAAATTTTTTTACTCATGTGCATTGTAAATATTTCTATATTTTTAGTATATGTATGCTAGAGCAATGTTTCCCTGTCAGGATACGCCATCTGTTAAATCTAAATATTCCGCTATGGTAAAAGTATAAACGTATCTTAATTTATGTAAATTTTATTAACGTACGTTTTTTTTTAATTTATGTCCAATTTAATTTATGTACATTTATCTATGCGTAAACGTAGAGATATCTGATTAATTATAATTACTAAAAATTAGAAAAAGTTAATAAATGACATGTAACATGTTTAATATAAAAAATATGAATAAGAAATATGTGTAATGTAAAGATATGAGTGTCTAATATGAAAATGTAAAATGTATTTGTATTAAGATATATGAGAGTAATTTGATTATAGATAATTACTTATTCCTATTTTTATATATTGACCGAATTAACTTAGAAATATACCTCTATGCTTAATTGTTATTAATGCGTATTTCATATTCCTCAGATTTCAGCACCAAAATGTTGCACAGTTAGAATGTCTCTACATCAGCAAAAGATACTAAAAGTTTCTCACCAATATGTATGTGAATTTTCTCAAAAAGCACCATTACCGTCTTATGTGATAGTTATCGTTGTGGGCTTCTTACAATGTCAAAAGTTTAATAACAGATGCAATGTATTATTTGAAATGAAGTATGGTACTCAACAAGTTTTTAGAATGGCGTCGAATATTAAGAAGTTGATGCATGTTGCCGAAAGTATATATGGCGCCTTATCCCGTAGGGGTAAAATTATTAATGTAATTTAGTTTTAAAATTTTACTTTGTTGTGTGTGTGTGTGTGTGTGTGTGTGTGTATATATATATATATATATATATATATATATATATATTTTAAATTTCAAATCTGATATTGTAATTAAAATGATGTTTGTAGGAAAGTATGATATATGTGTGCTACCACCAAATATTCCTAAAATTGATATAGCATGTCCTAAAATAATATTTGTGTCACCGAGTTTACTTGACGGAGATCTTTCTTTGATTAGTACACTAACTCCAACTATTTGTCAGAATTGGATAGGAAGTTTAGTTACATGTGTAACTTTTGAACATTTGTGGTTACATAAAAGCATTAGTATGTTTTTTTGGATTGAGATTGTAAGAATTTTGCTAGGAAATGAAACGAAGAGACTTCTACAGCAGAAATTGTCGAACGACCTATGGGACAAAAAGGTAAATTATAAATCTTAATTACATATAATCAAACTTACAGAAAAAAATTAAGTTAAGCATGTTATTAGATCATCACCCTATATTCACATGCATAAGCAAGTACATAGATTTCCATGTGTTTTTATATTTTGATTGCATTAATTTTATAGGAGGATAAATTTCATGATATCAAGTTAAAATGTTTGATACCCCATTTCACTGATTTCTTCCTCTATGAAGATGAGATGATTGAGTATGTGCCTTATGAAAAAGGAGTCGAACTTTTAAATTGTATACTAGATTCCATAGGTGGGTTTACCGAATTCGAACGGTTTTTAAAATCTTTTATACGATATTACAAATACAACAGTATATCATCTGATGAATTCAAGAAATACTTGTATAATTATTTTCCAAAAAAATGGAAGGTATATTTGTTACATAAACAATTTTCTTACATAAAGTTTTGTCTTAGCACTAGTAATAAATAATTTTATGTTACTAGTCTTTAAATTCTCTTGAATTGGATAAGTGGTTCTATCAGGAGAATTTCGGATTTCCAGTGGGAAAAGCCTATACAGATAAATGTCACATTCTTGCCAGAAAATGGCTCCGTTATCCCTCAGTGGGACCTCTGCCTGATCCAAACTGTAATTTAAAATATTACAATGATCTTCAAAAAATTGCATTTTTATCCTATTTACATGAATCATCTCGATATCTACCAATATCTAAAATAGAAGTGATGTCACGCATTTACTCATTTCACACGTGCAATACCGAAATACGGTAAATTGATTTATTTATTAAATTGGTTATTAAATTGATTTTAATTTGCGTATTAATGCATGAATATCTCACAGATTTATTTGGATACGTTTGTGCATCAAAAGTCACTGGAGAGAAATTATACCACAAATTTACCGTTTTATTGACGACTATCACTCATCCACATACATTTGTACTATATTACAAGATCTTTACCATTGGGAATCTAAAATAGCTTTTTGTCTATATAGTACTTGCAAATCAAAGATGTCATTTATAATTCAAGAAAAATTAGACGAATTCTTTTCTTTTTTGTCTGATTTATAGAATATAATTACACAGCAAAAATTTTGTAGAGCGCGGTAAATAACATTGACTTTTATTATACCAATTTTATTATACCAATTTTATCACAAAAACTGCCATTTAAAATTATTTTATTTATTTTTATATACATACCATTTTTTTTTAAAAGAAATTAGAAGTATCTTGAAGCCTAAGAAATCTATACAATGTAAAAGGGACGTAAGAAATATAAAAAAAAAACATAAGAAATGTAAAAAAGAAATAAATGTGATTGATACGTGCTTAATCGTTTCGTTAATATATCAAAATATCATTAATATATTTTACATAAATATATGTAATTTTTAATATAATTTAATTTATAATTAATTAAAATATATTAAAATACATATATTAGGCTACATAAAATTTAATGTAAAATTATATAAAAGAATGAACTTTTAAGACATTCTATTTTAATATTTTGACTTGTGATGTAATGTAAAAATGCCTTATAAAATATTTTTATTCTAAAAGGCCTAGTTAATTAAATATACTATTATTTTAATGACTACATGTCAAATTATATTAAAAGATTATTTCTTATTATTTATAATAAAATATATTCTTGATAATTAACGAAAAACGCAGTATGAATATTCAAATGTGTTTTTATTATAATAATTTTTTTTAATTTTTGACCACATTTTAAAGATTTTCTTTTCAATATAAAAAATAACTTTAGGTGGAAGTTTTTAGTGACACAATGCATGTATATAATACGATATACATATTATGAATATATTCCTAAATCTTTTCTGTAAGGTATATTGTCATCTTATTGTTCTTATGTATTGTCATAATAAATAATCAATTAAAACATGTCTTGTGTAAATTTGATTTGATAAATCTCAAATTGTTTAATCAATATTTGAAGATCACAGTCATTTTGACTGTTTAATAATAAAAAATTTAGATGTTATTAAGAAAAATAAAAGAATAGAATGAAAGATAAGATATTGGAAAAGAACGCAAAGCTGTGTTATATTCTAAAAGCCAATTTTTATATAGAAGTAGCTAGATAAATTAAAACATTAAAACATATTGTTGAAAAACCGGAAATATTATTGAAATATCTTTATCTGTTAAAGATCCACATTCGTATGCGAGACCAGCTATAATTAATAATTTAGTTTCATAAAAATAATATTATATGTTTAATAATTTGTTTTATATGTTTTTCTAGAAGGAAAAGAGAGAAATTCTTTAATCTTATTAATATATGATTGAAACATGAAACACTGTATATGTTCCTCAATCTTCAACAATTATTTCTACATTATAAAGTTTAATAAATGTTTTGAAATAATATAATTGATACGCAATATTTCGATTTATGATGCAATGTAAAAATACATCTTAAAAAATATAAAAGTGATTATATACAAAATTAACATGTAATGTTATAATAAAATCTAGCTTAGCTTATGAGATTTCTTATTCTATGTATTTTCATATAACATAAATAGAGATTTTGTTAAATATTTATTTCTAAAGAATTATATTTAATTATTTATTATAATATTTTTAATCATATTAAAAAGAATTATTTAATCTATATTCATTGATTTAGATCTATATTTAAATAATTCCGCATATTAAGTGTTTAAGTTAATGTTTTACGTTGTATTACTTGATTTATATCATTACATATAATATTACATATAATATTACATATTACATTGTTAATTAAAATAAACATATCTTATTATCCAAGAGTGTTTGAAGATGTAAGCGTGTTTCACAATGTTTATATGAGTTTGAATCATTTACTCAAGATTTTAATAAACAAGTTTGTGTGTTGAGATAATTTAACAAATGTATATAAAAGTCAGGATGATAAGAAGTTATATGTTACATTCTTGTTTTATGAAATTAAGATAATGAAATTAAGATAGTCAAAACTTATTTGAAAATTTCGACGAAATATTATGAATATGGATGAATTTCTTGGAGATTCATTTTCTTTTGCAAGACCAGGTATTTTATTATTTATAATTACACAAGAAAAATATTAAAATCATTCGACAATTGCTTTACTTTCCCTTGAGGGAAATAGAATCGAAAATAATCTAATATATTTATTAGTGTGTTTAAAACACGAAATCATCATCGATGTTTCAAGATTTTTCATAACTGATTTGTAAAATTAAGCTTCTTTTGTAATTTTAAGTATATTTTGGAACATTCATGTTTGTCTTTTTAAATTATATCAAATGCAAAAATATTAAAATTATTTGCATTATTAACAACAATGTGCGTAATTATAAAAAAAAGTTGTAATTGTAATATTATTATAATATATATTTATATATATTTACGCGTATTATAATAAGCCAATTGGCAGATTCGCGTATATTCGATAATTTTTAATAATTAATAATTTGCTACTAATTGCGAAAATCATAAAATGGTAGAAAATTTTTTTCTGCTCAATTTGATTCGCACTACCTGCGCACGAACGGTGTACCATTAGGAATCAGACACCTGTATATATACTATTTATTATTTATAAATAATTTTATATTTTTATAATGTTTTTTTTATTAGATCTTGCAATAATACTTGCAATAATAATAAACTCACATTTATTTGGACTTATTCGTGGATTTTGATCGAACAGTTCTTAAAAATGAAGCAACATTGACGATAGAAAAACAACCTTTAGTTGTACTGAAATAGTAAGAAAGCATTTTTCTTATCTAAAAAAGTAATTTTTATTTGTCATTAACGTGTAATATTGAACAATTAGATTTTAGATCATGACAAACTTGTTATATCAAAAGTGACAAACTATATTACTGGATCTAATTTAGAATATCATATTGAGAACTTTAATTCTTTTGGAAATAAATTTACTATTCAATTACCGCATTCTACGATGGGACATGCTGACAACAACGATATGCAATAATAATTTTAGTAAAAACAACAAATTTAATTATTATTTAACACAAATATATATATATATATATATATATATATATTCATATGATGATACATTATTTTTAGATGTAGAGATTGAATACGAAACAAGTCAAAAATCTTCTACACGGTATTGGTTAATGCCTAAAAGAAAAGATAAACGTGAATATAGAAAGATATACGTATGATTTTACGTATACGTATATACGTGATATTTTACTATATTACAGTCAGTTAAACTATGTATAATAAACAATATAATTCTTCTATATTAATGTCCATTGTATAAATATTTGTATATTTTTAAGATGTAGGCGCTAGGTCCATGTTTCCCTGTCAGGATACACCATATGTTAAATTTAAGTATTCTGCTAAGGTAATATTATGGATATAAAGTTAATTTTTATAGAGATTTTGCATTTACTTATTTTCGCGTAGAAATATCTGATTGATCGTTGTCTAGAAGAATTAATATTATTGATAAAAGTAAAGAAGTAAATGAAAAAATGAACTTTGTTTCGCAAAGAAGAGTATACAAGTATATATTTGTATATACAAGTATATATTTGTTTATATTTTCTTATATATTGATTAAATTAAAGAACAGAAAAAAATATAGAAAAATGAAAAAAGAGATTGGCGTCTAAGGTCCCATTTGTCGAGATTTATTGATATTTTGTTATTTTGGCATATTCTCGGCCTATATATGTACATACATTAAATTGTTCAAATTGAAAGAATATATTTCTAATTAATTATTATTATTAATGTATATTGTATTTATTAGATTTCAGTATCAATAGATTTCACATCGGCAACTTTGACAAAAATCTTGAAGACTTTGGACAAAAACGTTTACGAATTCGATCAAAAATTACCACCTTATGGAGTAATTATTGCTGTTGATATATTAATGCATAAAGTTTAGTCGCAAATGCTACGTTTGGGCCGAAAAAAGATATATCGAGCAAAGTAAGAAACTATTTAAAAAAAGTGAAAATATACTGCGAATTGCCGAAAATTTATGCGGTTTTCATCCTTGAAGTAAAATTATTGGTTTTAAATCTTTATAGATGTATGCGCGCGCGCGCGCGTGTGTGTGTGTGTGTGTGTGTGTGTGTAACAAATTTTATATGTTTATAGAAAATTAAGTCTTTTATTATTGTTATTTTATTCTTATTATAATTATGATATTTTATAGATATATTTAATATATGCGTGCTTCCATCAAATTTTTCTTATAATTTATTAAATTAATTCTCCTTCCGTGTCATTCGTATCGGTGGTTTACCTAAACACTGATTTATTTGAATATGATTCATTGCCAATATCATTGTTTCGCACTACACAGGAAATTTAGTGACGTGTGTAAATTATGAACATGCGTGAATCATGCGTGAATCACATAGTTGAATCATAGTTTTGTTAGGTTTATTGTACATAAGATTCTTGGTATTCTGCATAGTATAGAAGTAAAGCAATATAGCAACAAAAATGTCAAATATTTTTGTAAATAAGGTAAATTATTAATTTCTGCCTAATCAAATATAATAAAAAAAACAGAAATAAATCATTTTGAATATGGTATAGGATAATATTATATTTTATATTTATATAAATACGTACATACTTATACATCTCTACATTTCTATTGTATTACTGTTTTAGATAAAAACCTCTAAACCAGGTGATGAATTTAGTATCTAACCCGTCCGATTTTACTGTTAAGAATGGTCGTACCAACATGCTTTATTATAAAGGATTTCTGCTTCTAAATTTATTAGAAGATGCTTTAGGTGGGGCGAGTGTATTTGAACCATTTCTTAAATCATTTCTTACACACAGAAGTACGCGTACAAAAGTTTAACAACTGATACATGGAAAGAATATTTTATATTCTTACTTTCCTGAAAAAATTGAAGTAACATATTTTTCATACGAATAAATTAGAATTTTAATTTAATTTCTTACTAATAATAATTTCTCAATGTTGTTGCTAGTTTTTAAATGCTTTTAACTGGAATATGTGGTTCTATACTCCAAATTTACCATTTCCACTGACGGAATTAAAAAAATGAATGTCATTATTTAGCGGAAGCATGGCTCAATTGGAAAGTTACATTACCTGACAAAGTTACTAAATTACAGTTACATTTTCATGATTTGCAGAAAATAGATTTTTTAGAGTATTTATATCAGGCACTTAAATTTTTGTCGTTCGCCACGATACGTGCGCTATCAGAGATCTATCGACGAAACAAATTCTAGAATATGGT